TGGTTGCATTGACTTCATTTTCTTGCTTAAGTCCATTTAAAGTTGATGCTTCTGATAATGGTGCAGGTGGTTATGGGGTAGCCACAGGGGGGCCCTTGGCTTGGGGTCTATGCTACAACAAGGAAATGAGTCCTAGCTCAATATACTGTGATGATTACTTCAAGTTAACCTATCCATGTGCTCCTGGAGTTAGTTACCATGGTCGTGGTGCACTACCTCTTTATTGGTATGTGGTGGTGTTCTTTCTTCCCTTACTTGATTGTTACTTTTTACAGGCTAAGTGAGGTCTTTGACATGATCAGAGAGAGAGACAGTGAGAGGGAAGAAAAAAGCAGTACCAGTGATTTAGATATGCTATTTATGCCTCGAAATTTCAGTTGGATGTGGAACTAAATGCCATTTGCTTTCTGCAAGCTTTGTTGATTGTTTTATGGAAATAGTCCTTAATTATCATCTGCCATAATTTAGTTCACTGATTCCTACTGAATCAAGCTTTCTTAACAAAGACTACACAAAGTTAATTTGTTTTCCATTCTAACTGTCCCTGTTTCTTAGAATTGTAAAGTCTGTAATGCTCGCATGATGATTATAGATATTGAAGGGCTCCATGCTTAGAATTTTTTTTTTGTGCGGGTTTTTTTTTTTGGGCCGGCCGGGGCCGGGGGGGGGGGGGGGTTCGGTATTTTAACTCTATTGCATTTTAGTAATTGCTTCAGTCCTGCATATTTTTCTGACTGTATCCGTGTATGTTGTCTTAGGAACTACAACTACGGGCCTGTTGGTGAAGGCCTCAAGCAAGATCTTTTGAACCATCCTGAATACATTGAACAAAACGCGACTCTGGCTTTCCAGGCTGCAATATATCAATGGATGAAACCCCAGAAAAAGGGACTACCTTCTGCTCATGATGCATTTGTTGGCAACTGGAAGCCCAACAAAAATGATACTGAAGCAAAACGAGTTCCTGGTTTTGGGACAACCATGAACCTCCTCTATGGAGATTCTGTTTGTGGTCAAGGTGATATTGACAGTATGAATATCATTATCTCCCATTATCTAAACTACCTTGACCTTTTGGGAATTGGGCGAGAAGAGGCAGGGCCTAATGAAGTACTCAGCTGTGCTGAACAGAAAGTGTTCAATCCTTCCTATACCCCCTCAACTTCTTCTTGAAATGTAATGAATCTTAGCAGCCAGTGTCATTTTGTGGACCAAATTATCTCTGGCAAAGAACCATATAATAAAAAGAACAATTATGATTTGCCTTGATTGTGTGAAGATCAGTTAGTTGGAAACAAAGCATGTTAAAAGCTGTTTGATGTGTTCTTTATATAGACTTTTGGCATAATTTTTGTCCTGTAATATTTGTTAGTATAAGAGATTTGTTGAATTCATGTACTGTATCATGTATACTGTAATATAATCATGAAAGTTTGTGAAAGTTGTGAAAGTTTCAGTTATTTTCCGTCTCTAGCTTTGCCTGTTGTGCAGAAATATGATGTACCTAGGAAAGAGCTCTGCAATTAGTTTTGATAGGAATTTCCCATTATTAATTTTTTCCCTACTATTTGTCAATTCTGCAATGCAGAAAATCAATCACCACTCATAATATAAGCACTTATCATTATGTAATATCAATACTATCCTTGTTGAGTACCGAAGTTTACCCTAATTTTAACCCCTATTCTTAGCTCTCGTTATATCCCATCCATTTCCAACTCCTTGAACCGATGGGAGTATTTCTTGGGGACGTCAAAATCGCCTTTCTGAACAGCAGCTCCCAAGGGTGAAATTTTTGTGGACTTAACAGCCGTAGTCCTACTTCCTCTTGCCAACCCGGGGCAGCTCTCGTCGTTCAGGATTTGTCTAGCGCGTTATACCTCTCTGTGTGGTTAACAAGTTATTGTATGGATGGAATTTATCCAGCGTGTACTCTTGGGTAGCGGCTACGAATTTCCTTGTCAACCCAAAAACAAAATAAATAACGGTCACCTCTATCCGTTGCATTTGGCAGAAATCGAATTATCTTCGTCAATGACATAGTTATTCCTTACATATGGAGCAAAGGCAGATGTTAGAACCAAAGATGGTTTCCTGCCGCTTGAGTTGGCTCTTGAGTCCTTAGCAGAAGCGTTTCTTGGAATATTCATGAAGAATCAATTTATACTCTGCTGTTTGATATTTGTGGACTTAGATTGCATGCTTGGAGTGTTAAAGCTTGTTCGTAGGCTTGTAAACTGTTCATCTGCCGCTGAGTTTTCTGATTTCATAAGCCGTTAAGGAATGAAAGGGGAAGACAATTGAGTTGGCCACTTTGCTTGTTATAGCGCCTAAAAAGTCTCTTTGGATTGAGAATGTGCACGTACCCTCTGATTCGGCTGCTAACCTCTTCAAGAAGACGATATGACATTATGTTCTTGATCATATTTTATCACTTGCAAATGAGGAGCAATTATTAGGGCTTCGAATCCTCTTGCAAATGACCAGATCATGTATGATCAACAAGACTCTTTTTTGTTAAAAGGAAAATAAATTTTTTTTTTGAGTTATCTATTTTAATTGATTTTGAATAAACTTATAAATCGATTATTATCGGTTTATTTAAATTTGGATTAATAAAATGCTAGACACACGTGGTGGCTATACAAACAAGGGACAGTGGGAAGAGACTACTTTGGGGACAGGGATTCGAAGCCAATTATTAGGGGGCAGAGGACCTGGCCGGCTAAGCACAATTATAGTAAGAAACTGCTGCAGACTACAATGTTATTGGTTTGTTGCTTGAAATTTTTCCCAGGATAGGGGCTGATGACACTTTCATCGTCAAGGCTGTGGTGCAATTGCTTCTTCTTGCAATATTATTTTAAGAATTAGCTTTTTATATACCATCAGTGATTTTTTTGCGCTAGAAGTTTTGAATGTTTTTAGACGTATGTTATATGTGCATGAGTTGAATTTTAAATTTAAATTTATATTGTGTGACATAATCTAAATGTGTTAATCTAATTATACCCTCATGATATATAAAAAGGTTATCCCTGTTTTAAACCAACAATAATTCTGTAGAATGGTATATTGGTTTGTACCAACTCATTGTTTTAAAACAGCATAACAATTCTGCAGAATGGTACAGTGGTTTGTACCAACCCCTTGTTTTGGAAGAAGCACGTGAGCTGTAAATTTCACAGTGAACACTTGTCCGGCGGCAGTATGCCTGTTCCCCCCAGGAGCCAGGAGACGTTCAATGACACCCTACTCCCGGTTGCCTTGCTATTACAGCTAAAAGAGACGTAGAAGGAGTTGCTCCGGATATACAAGTCTCCTGTGTTTTTGTTTAATGAATTGTTACCATTGGGATAGCTTCAGGAACCTCCCTTGAGGATTTTAACAATTTCGTTTAACTCTCTCGAGATTTTTAAAATTACGCATATCTTACTTGTTATTTAAAATGATAATACTATCTTTAAATATTTTAATAAAATTCTCTTGTTTGGTATTCTTATATTTAGAATGACTTTTAAAATTATTTTTTCATTCTTTTTCCTTCTCATTCCTTTTTATTTTAATTTTTTTACCAATAAAACTGTAGAACTTTTACTATTATTTCTAGTTTCTATTATAATCAAATGTCGAACTAGTGATTTTTTTATGAGTTAACTTTATATGTAATCCAATATATTTTTTTTACTAATCTTTGTTTTCTATTTTTTGGTATTAAAATTAACAATAAATCAAAAAGAAATGACCCAAAATTAGTGGTGGGCAAAATTATCCGCTAACTCGAAAACCCGTCATATCCGATCCGATCGGATCCGAAAATTAGGATATCCGATTTTTATTATTTGATCGGGTCAAAAGAGGGTCGGGTATCGGCTAAGATGCGGGGCGGGTTAGGGTCACATAATTAAAAATCCGCGGGTACCCGATCCGTCCCGCATATATATATTTTTTATTTTTATACACACACTATAAAATAATAAGTTAGAACTAAATAAGTAATTTTATTGAACAAATTGCATTACAAATATGAGATACTATAGTTTATTTACAAGATTCATTTGTAAAGGCCATGATCTTATATTTTATAGAAAAAAGTTTAATTAATGTGGAACATATATATTAAAAATTGTGCTACTTATTTCAAACTTTTATTGATTTTGAATTCTTTTAATTTTTTTCCTTTATCTTATATTCTCTTCATATGCTTGTTTCTTGGTGGGAAACCTTTTTTTAGAAAAAAAAAATTATTAAATCTTAGATGAATGTGTAAAATATAAAATTAAATTGGTATAAATTATTTTTTTTAAAAAAATTAAATGATAAATGGGGCGGGGCGGGTACTCGCTGATCCGACCCTATCTCACCGGGTACCCGTTATAGGGTACCCACTGATATGCGGGGCGGGTACCCGACCCGCGCCCACCCCTACCCAAAATCACTACTAAATTTTGATAATCCTACTATTCGAAAAATTCATAAACTCTAAATCAATTATTTCAAAATTTTCTTTTCTATCTTATAAATCTAGATCTATAATAAAATACCTTCAAAAGTATCCTATCATAGTGATAAAATTATTATTATTATAATTGTTTATCAAATAGTAGGATGAACATGAAAAATTCGACACTTTTTTCTTATATTTACACTGGATAATTTTATAATTGTATAGAAAAGTAAATTAAAACTCATTACACAAGGGCATTTTTGGGTATTCATTTAAAAATTTGACTAAGTCATTATTATTTTAAAGTTTTATTACTAAAACTATCAAATCACAGGAGGTGGATGTAGTTTTTTAAACTTTAAGAGAGTTCCGTGGTACTGTTAGAAACCTTAGGGGAGGTTTAGGTTTCTTAAATTATCCAAAAAAAAAAAAAAGACACGTTGCTCAATAATCATAATAAAACCTTCCCGTGAGGACAAAATTTGGTCACGAAGTATCTATTGGCGTTTTGTTAAAGTTCAAAGCCACAGAAACCTCTTTAAAGTTAAATATGTGGTCCGTTTTGCATAATCAGAAGGGGACGAAATTAACAGTTAACACTGTGGCAATCTACATACTGACTACAGTACCTCTTTAGCCTCTTTTTCATACAGTATATAAATGGCGTCTCTCGCCTTCACTTCTCACTCGTTAGTCTACCCATCTTCTTCTTCATCAATCTTCTCTCAAATTCTGCCATCAAAAGGTAATCATTCCTTCTTTGACAATCTATATTATTTTGTGATGCGAAGCTGGTGAAGATCCCAATTCCCGATTCCAGTCAACGGAGAATGTCCGTGGAAGAATAGGGAGGAGGAATTGTACTATATTGAGAATCAAGGAGAGTTACAGGAAATGTTTGCTTTCTTAATTGCCTTCCCTTGCTGTTACTTATCCTATCAATTATTAATTAAGAAGTAACCGCAATTTTGACCACCTCGGCGATGCTTAGTAATTAATTACTATCGTAACTAATTAACTATTACAATCAATTAGCTGCTGCTAGATGTGACTGACTGACTATTATACAATCAATTAGCTGGTAAATGATCACAGCTTAGCATTATTGAACGGTTAATATCTCATCAATCAATCTAGTCATTTCCTTGGAACTGCATCAGTTTGCTTCTTTTCGCAGTTTGTTTATGATTGTTTGCTGCTTGATGATTTTGATTTAGATTTTTTTTTCTCTGTAATTTATGGATTCCACCCCTAAATTGAGGAATTAGGTGCCGAATTTAGGGTTGAGGATTACAGCTTTTTTTTTTTTTTTTTTGGCTAGCAATTCCGATTATTTATCTTTTGGTATCCCCCGCCCCGCCCCCCCAACGGATGCAGATGTCCGTGAAAGCTCTGACACTCAAGGTTGAGATCCCTGGCACTGGCGAGCCAATTACCCTTGAGGTTGAAAGCTTCGACATGGTTGACACTGTCAAGGCTAAGATTCACGCCAAGCAGGGTTTTTCCGCAGACAACCAGATGCTGTTTTTTGCTGGCAAACAGCTTGAAGATGGGCGGACCCTTGCCGATTACGATATTCAAAAGGAGTCTATCCCTCATTTGGAGCTCAAGGTGTGTTTGCTTTCTTAATTGCCTTCCCTTGCTGTTATTTATCCTATCAATTATTAATTAAGAAGTAACCGCATTTTTTACCACCTTGCCACCTTAGCGATGCTTAGTAATTAATTACTATCATAACCAACTAACTAACTAACTATTACAATCAATTAGCTGCTGCTAAATGTGACTGAGTAAGTATTATACAATCAATTAGCTGGTAAATGACCACAGCTTAGCATTATTGAACGGTTAATATCTCCGCAACAGATCTTCTGTCCCATATCCTGTGTCACTCTCTGTCCCACTTTTTATTATATTGCTATTTTTCCTTCATAAATATCATATTTTAGTTCTTTTTTGTTTCCTTAAGATCCAATAACTATTAATTTAGTAAAAAATAAATACAACAGTTTCAAAAAAAAATATATAATAGAAAATTAAAAAATGCAGCAGAAAATTTATAAAAAATCTTTATGTAACAGTTTCATAAAAAGCAATATGTAACAGTTTCATTTTTTATGTATTTTGATTTTTTGAGTTTGTTAATCCAGTCATTTCCTTGCAACTGCATCAGTTTGCTTCTTTTCACAGTTTGTTTATGATTGTTTGCTGCTTGATGCTTTGATTGATTTTAGTATATTTTTTTTAAATTTTCCGGTAGTTGACGGATCTATTGGGATTATTTGGTTGAACGAGAAGACTTTCCATTTTTTTATTTTTAATATAATTAATCCAATTTAGGCTGGAATAAAAAAAAAGAAGAAAGAAGGAAAAGATTTTGATTTAGGTTTCTTTGTTTCTGTAATTTATGGATTCCACCCCTAAATTAAGGAATTAGGTGCCGAATTTAGGGTTCGGGGGTTACAGTTTTTTTTTTCGTGCTAGCAATTCCCATTATTTATTTTTGGTATTTTTGCTAGCAATTTTGGGTTTAAAGATTTGAATTTGATTAGATCTGATCGAATTTGCTAGCATCCCACTGTTTCTCCACCATCATTAGTTCATTTAAAAAATATTTGCTATCCAACATGATACTAGGGCATACTTATCTAAACATCTTTACCTATATCTACTTTTCATGAGCCACTTTGCTTACCTTTTCTCTTGCTATGTGTCTCAGTTTATCTGAAAGTGATCACCCATAAATACCTGGTAATAGTATGTACACCATAAGGTTTGATTGTTTACCCAAAAAAATAGAACCTTTTAAAATTTTCTGTTCTTTTACTTGCCTAAACCTCCTCACTTATTGTGGAAAGTTTCTCATATAGTTCGTATAATGAATACACCGTTCTTTTTATTCTGGAAACTCATGGCTCCTGATTATCTTCTACCAGCAATTCCTTCCAATAATTGGTTGGACAGCTATCATTTACTTTCTCATGAACACTTGTTGTGCAAAATTTTCTTCCACTTTCCTCCAACATATCTAACTCAAACCATTCATACAGATTTTCAGAACAAACTTTCTATTTTATTTTTTTTATAGCATTTCAATCGTGTGCCTAAAACAAGTACAAGTAAAATTGTTCCACACCATTGTTAAAATATGCAAATTATGTGATAAGCTTGCAATATTATTACTTGGGTATGTCTCAGCTCAGTCTTTGCCCCGGATGCCCCTATCTCCCACTTTACAATTCGGATTCATCTTCCCTAAGCTTTTTTAGATTTCACACTTCCAAGACTACCACTATTTCTTCCTTCTCCTCATTATAATTTCTGTAAGGTGACAGCATATTTTCACCATTTTTCTTCTTTGCCCACTTTTCTATTCTGCTATGTTATTTTGCCATATGCCATCTCGCCCTATTTTCTAGAGTTATGGATAAATGAATATTGGCAATTATTTTGGAGGGAATGCAAGGGACTTTGATTTAAAAAAAAGAAGAAGAAGAAGGAATAGATTTTGATTTAGGTTTTTTTTTCTCTGTAATTTATGGATTCCACCCCTAAATTAAGGAATTAGGTGCCGAATTTAGGGTTGAGGGATTACAGTTTTTTGTTTGGCTAGCAATTCCGATTATTTATCTTTTGGTGTTTGTGCTGGCAATTTTGGGTTGAGGGATTGGAATTTGATTAGATCTGATCGGATTTGGCTTTTTTTTTTTTGGTTTTTTTCCCCCTAACAGATGCCGATCTTCGTGAAAGGTCTGACAGTCGAGGTTGAGAGCTTTGACATTGGTAAGCCAATTACCCTTGAGGTTGAAAGCTTTGACACTGTTGACACTGTCAAGGCTAAGATTCACGCCAAGCAGGGTTTTTCCGCAGACAAGCAGAGGCCGTTTTTAGCTCGCAAACAGCTTGAAGATGGGCGGACCCTTGCCGATTACAATATTCAAAAGAAGTCTATCCCTGATTTGGTGCTCAAGGTTGGTGGCGGAATGAAAATTTTCGTGAAAACTGCTACTGGAAAGACCTTAACTCTGGAGGTGGAGAGTTCTGATACCATCCAGAACGTGAAGGCAAAAGTTCTGTCTATGGAGGGAATCACACCGGAAGAGCAAAGCTTGGTTTTTGCTGGTGGGCCGCTTGAGGATGGTCGCACTCTTGCATACTATAACATTCTTCACGAGTCCACTCTTGACTGGGTGTTCTCTACTCGCGGTGCTTAGGAGGCTAACTTTCACGTGGTGGCTTCTAAACGACAATACGCTGATTGTCTTGATTTTAGGAATTCTGTTTGCTTTGCTCGTGTGTCTTTGCTATCATGTTGAAGACAATCTTGGTTTCAAGACACTCTTGAATTGGGCTGTTTGTAGTTCTTGTTTTTTTGGGATTGGCTTTCCTCGTGTACCGAGAGAACTTATGAGGAATAAACCCAGTCTTGTTTTAAGACTGTTTTGATTAAGAATAAACTAGTCTTGTTTAAGAATAAACCTAGCCTTGATTGGGCTGTTTGTAGTTCTTGTTTTTTGGGATTGGCTTTGCTCGTGTGTGAGAGAACTACGAGGAATAAACTGCAGCATGCCCAACTAGGCATAAATTATTCAAACCTGCAGCATGGCTTTATATGTATCGAAGTAATTGCATAAATGGTAGGAGAGCAAATAGAAGTAATAAAGTTTGTAATGTTAACAAAAAGGGATAATTTGAGAAACCTCCCCTGAGGTTTTTGATAATTTCACTGAGCTTTCCTAAGGTTTGAAAAATTACACTTACCTCCCTTGTTTTGATAGTTTTAGTAACAAAACCTTAAAATAATATTGATTTCGATAATTTTTTAAATGAATACCCAAAAATGCTCTTTTGGAATGAGTTTTAATTTATTTCCCGATACAATTATAAGATTATTTAGTATAATTATAAGAAAAATGTACCAAAATTTTCATGTCCATATCTGCTATTTGATAAACAACTATAATAATAATAATTTTATTACTATGATACGAGATTTTTTATGGTATTTTATTATGGATTCAAATTTATAAGATAGAAAAGAAAATGTTGAAATAATTCATTTAGAGTTTATAAATTTTTGGAGTAATGGGATTATCATAATTTTAGTAGTGCTTTTGGGTCATTTCTAAGTATAAGCATACCGGATAAGAGAATTTCATTAAAATATTTAAGGGTAAAATTATCATTTTAAATGACAGATGAGGTATATATAATTTTTCAAATCTCAAGAGAGTTCAATGGAATTGTCAGAAACCTTAGGGGAGGTTTTTGAAATTATCCCTAAAAAAATTAAAATAAGCTTTAGAATGACAGCTATGTACAAATCTTCATTTTGACATTTATTTTGAACAGTGATGAACCATATTGAGAGCACAAGAAAAATTTTCTTGTTCAAGAGAGATATATATGTTTTCATTGTGCATGATTTTGTTATAATAGAAGGATTGTAAATAACTATCCAAACACAAATCCTTTTATCTAGCGTTATTTTGTTAAATTAGCAAGCATTAGGTTAAATAAGGATTTCAACATGTTCATATGTCATTACATAAAATTTTTTTCTGAACTCACTACAAGAACTATAGCAAAGAGGATCTAATAAATTCAATAACGAATTGTCCTATACTAATTGAACTGATAAATAAGAAAGCATTGCAGCATGGAGCTTGAAAAGTAAAATACATCTTTCCCCCATCCAGAAGCAAATTTTGTTTATGCTGCCCATGGCCAAATTTGCTAAGTTCTCCCGTGACAACTTGACCTTGAAATTATAACCATAAAATCTTAGTATACATTCCATTGAAGTTAGTAATGGGACTTGACACCTATACATGGAAATTAGAATTGGGTCAGGCGACATTGATTGATCCCATAACAAACAAGATAAACTGGACTAACCTCAAAACTCGTAATATTCATACAAAACCTTAATCCCTAGGACCTTTTTCCCTCATAATATTCATACATGAAAATTGTGACTTTTTACTTGAAATTAATACATGGAAATGTTCCTTTTCTAAATTTATAACGGATATATAGCCAAATTTAAGTGTAATTTCAAATTCTTAAGAATTTTAATGACACTCCTTTGTTGTTATTATTATTATTCGCATTTTTCCTAACCCTTGCCCTATGTAGTACTTTCTTTCGCCTTCACCAAAACAAGCTTGACATACAAAACCGGCAAACACATCTATTTCATGTTCTTCTCTTTTACAAATTATAATTTCAAATTTGATAAAATATATACTACCAATTAGTTTATTTACACAAAAAGGGGAAAAAAATTTTAAAAAAAGAGGAAAATCAAATAATCAGGTCGCTTTCACTGCTTACAAGGGAGTACAATGATGTACATACAGTATGTAATCGGACGACTCTTGTAAGCCTGTCTTTGCTTCTTTGAAACATGAAGAATCAAGTTGCTGATTGAGTCGAATATCTAATCAAGCATCACACTGATTTAGTTTCTTTTTCTTTTTGAAACAAAGGATCAATCTCGATTAGATCCAGTAAGAGTACGGTCCAATCTAATCCAAGCCAAACAGTTCAATAGAGCACATCTATTCCACTATGGTCAAGTGTTGTACAGCTTCATAGTTGAAACTCTTCGTTCATCAGTCTCTTCCCTTGTTTTTTTTGCCTAAAACCCCTCAAAACTATAAGAACAACTAACTTCAATTTCATCCTAAGGTGGCAACAACAATAGCAGCAAACCCAACCTTTTTCTTGCTCAAACTAAACTTACTCTAACCGGTTCCAACTTTTCTTAATTCTCACAAAATCCCACCTCCAGTTTTCTTCCTTCAAACACATAGTAGTGACAAATTCTCCTCTAACATCATTCTCCTTGATGCCTATGGCAAAGATCAGTGCAAGTGCAACACAACAATCAAGTTAGCTTAAAAGAGATGATGATGGAATGCCATCATCATCATCAATGGAAATCCAAGAAAAAACAAGCCGACTAATGGAAAAACTTGCTTTTGTCATCTTGTCTAATGCCCTCGAAACTAGAGTGCAAAGATTAATTCTTATTTAATACAAAACTTCCTCATTCTGTTTAATATAATTTATTGCTATCATTGTTTCAACAAAATCATCATTAAGGATGACCTTGTTGATAAAGAAACTTAATTTAAGACTAGATAATCAAGAAAAAACTAGAAACAAAAAGGAAATACGCTACAACTATATAATTCTATAAATGACACTCATCGAATAACAAGTTTATTTTTTACTTACAAGTTTTTTTCCCAACCTAAAAATTCTGGCTTCAAATTAGTAATGACTTTTACCCATTGCCCTGTTTGGGACATTCTTTATTCATTTAACGACCCAATCCAATTTATATTGGTATTTGCTATCAGCTCCTTAAGATGATAACAGCCTTTGCCAGTTACCTTCTCTCAATTGCGCCGCAAAAATATGGACAAAAATGCTCATGCTGAGTTGTACTTCTAATAGACCTTCTACCTAATATACCTTCTAATAGAACTTCTAGAATAGTTGGCCATTAAAAGAGTTCTAAAACTCTACTTGAGAGTTAGGTCAAGGAGTGGTGGTTCATTTCCTTCTGAATTTTTCTTGGGTCTCTTCAGTCCCTTCTTCCTCTAGTATAGAGTAAGAGTAGGTCTATCATATCCGAAAAAAAATAAGGGAAGTTCATCCCACTTTCCATCCCACATCGATAGAAGTAGATAAATAGGAATTAATTCTAACTCCCACATAATGAAAAAAAGTAAAAGGTCCCAAGAGGAAAATAATCCTATTTGAGCACTGTACATCGCTAACATCAGGAAATTAAATCATTGAGAATCTTGTAACCGGCCAAGCTGCTAAAGTCATTAAAGTGGTGATGAATCCCGTCAGTAAAATAGGTCCCATAGAAAGTCCGTCTGTTCCTAATCTCCAATCGAAAGATGAAACATAAATCATGGATCAAACAAACCCTATCAGGGATTTTCTTAATTTAAAAAGGAACCTCATAAAAATACCATGGAATAGGGGTTGATCCTATTCATGGAGATTCCCTAAATATTTCATTCCAAAAATAGAAAGTTCGACACAATTGTGATTTTTTTTTTGGAAAAAAAAGTGGAAGTTCATGCCACTTTCCATCGAAGAAGCAACCGTACTTCTAATAGGCTTTCTGGCTGCGGTGGGAAGTTCATCTCACTCTCCACCTTAGAAGCAACCCCCAAGCTTCCATTGTTGTTTTGCTAAAAGTTCAAAACAACTGATTTAAGGGCTGTGATCGTTGAAGGTGTACATGAATGGAAATGCTTCATTTGTGTTCTTCATCGGTAGGAAGTTCATCCCACTTTCCACCCACCGCACAAGCAACCCCGGAGTAGTTTCCATTGCACATACCATCGGATTGCTTCATTGCGCATACCACTGCATTGCGTGTTGGTTTTGCGTAATGAAAAGGGGACGAAATTAACACTCTGACAATCAACAGTGCTGACTACAGTATCTCTTTAGCCTCTTTTTAATATACTAGTATAACGATAGTTACTATACCATTTTCCCGGATGCTAAAACTGAACACTTGGGTACTAAATTTATATATGTATATAAATATAATGAAGGCTTGAATCCTTTTGTGTTTCGTATTGCCGCGGAACTACTATGTTTGCCTCCACTTTTCCTTCTTCGAAATTATTATCCCCTCACGTATGAGATTTATATTTATTATTTGTTAAAATTTCGGTACCTTCTATGCGCACATTTTCCGTCGAATACCAAAATGGGAGAAATGAAGACAAAAGTTAATTAAATTCAAATGAAGAATTGCACGTACAGTTGCTGTGGTGTAGAATTTTTCTCAGGCCTGGCGAGTACTCCTTGCCAAGCGCGTGGTCTGTGCTTCTTAGTCCAAATGGTTTTGGACCACAAACAATTCAACCATGGCTAGACCATGATGTGTAGGAACGGTCAATGCGTTCCTACCATAAATAAAGGTATCCGAGCTTTAACACATACACTATGAGGTCAACGACGGAATGTCAGAAAGAAAATATTGTAGCCGCTTTTGATTTGTATACTTCTTCTTCATCAATCCTCTCTGAAAATTCTGCCACGTTCTAGAAAAATTGTTCGCGGTAGCCTCCCTCCCCAAACGCAACCACTTGCTTAATGTGGAAGTAGAAGTCTTCTGTTTTTCTCTATATATGGGCGTCTCTCACCTTCATCTCTCACTCGTTAATCTACCCATCTTCTTCTTCATCAATCTTCTCTCAAATTCTGCCATCAAAAGGTAATCCTTCCTTCTTTGACAATCTATATTATTTTGTGATGCAAAGGTAGTGAGGATCCCAATTCCCGATTCCAGTTAATGGAGAATGTCCGTTGAGGAATATGAAGGAGGAATGGTACTATATTGATAATCAAGGAGAGTTACAGGAAAGGTTACAATAATAAAGGGGAGATAAGTTCACTAGCTTTCTTAATTGCCCTCCCTTGCTGTTACTTATTCTATCAATTATTAATTAAGAAGTAACCGCAATTTTGACCACCTCAGCGATGCTTAGTAATTAACTACTATCATAACTAACTAACTATTACAATCAATTAGCTGCTGCTACATGTGACTGCCTGACTATTATACATCCAATTGGCGGGTATATGATCACAGCTTAGCATTATCTAATGGTTAACATTGATTGGGGTTGAGGGATTACAGTTTTTTGTTTGGCTAGCAATTCCGATTATTTATCTTTTGGTATTTGTGCTGGCAATTTTGGGTTGAGGGATTGGAATTTGATTAGATCTGACCGGATTTGGGTTTTTTTTTTTTTTTGTTTTGGTTTTTCCCCCTAACAGATGCCGATCTTCGTGAAAGGTCTGACAGTCGAGGTTGAGAGCTTTGACACTGGTAAGCCAATCAGCCTTGAGGTTGAAAGCTCTGACACTATTGACAATGTCAAGGCTAAGATTCAAGACAAGGAAGGTATTCCCCCAGACCAGCAGAGGCTGTTTTTGGCTGGCAAACGGCTGGAAGATGGGCTGACCATTGCCGATTACGATGTTCAAAAGGAGTCCAGCCGTCATCTGGTGCTCAGGCTTGGTGATGGAATGCAAATTTTCGTGAAAACTCCTACTGGAAAGCCCATAGCTCTGGAGGTGGAGAGTTCTGATACCATCGACAATGTCAAGGCAAAAATTCAAGATAAGAAAGGGATCCCACTGGCTGACCAGAGGCTGATTTTTGCTGGTAAACAGCTTGAGGATGGCCGGACTCTTGCAGATTATTACATCCAGGAGGAGTCAACCCTTCACTTGGTGATGAGGTGGAGGGGAAGAATGGAAATATCTGTGGAAACTTTGAGAGGGAACACCTTAACTCTGGAGGTGGAGAGTTCTGATACCATCGAGAACGTGAAGGCAAAAGTTCTGTCTAGGGAAGGAATCCCACCGAACGAGCAAAGGTTGGTTTTTGCTGGTACGCATCTTGAGGATGGTCGCACTCTTGAAGACTATGAAATTCCTCACAAGTCGACTCTTCACTTGGTGTTCTCTACTCGCGGTGCTTAGGAGGCTAACATTCACGTGGTGGCTTCTAAACACGACAATACGCTGATTGTCTTGATTTTGGGAATTCTGTTTGCTTTGCTCGTGTGTCTTTGCCATCATGTTTAAGACAGTCTTGGTTTCAAGACTCTCTTGAATTGGGCTGTTTGTAGTTCTTGTTTTTTTGGGATTGGCTTTCCTCGTGTGCAGAGAGAACTTAGGAGGAATAAACCCAGTCTTGTTTTAAGACTGTTTTGATTAAGAATAAACTAGTCTTGTTTAAGAATGAATAAACCTAGCCTTGAATTGGGCTGTTTGTAGTTCTTGTTTTTTGGGATTGGCTTTGCTCGTGTGAGAGAGAACTACGAGGAATAAACTGCAGCATGCCCAACTAGGCATAAATTATTTAAACCTGCAGCATAGCCTTATATGTATCGAAGTAATTGCATAAATGGTAGGAGCAAATAGAAGTAATAAAGTTTCCAATGTTAAAAAAAAGGGATAATTTGAGAAACCTCCCCTGAGGTTTTTGGTAATTTTACTGAGCTCTCATAAGATTTGAAAAATTATACTTATGTGAGAACCCGTAATTTTCCATTTTCTAGGTTTTATTATTTTTCATGGCTTGTTTTCTGCATTTTCGTGAGTAGGAAAAATTTCTAGATATTTTTAAGGAGCAGATATAGTTTTTAGATGATTTTTCTAGTATCGAATAGGTTTTGAGAAATTAAGAGCGTATACCGGACGTGGGACCCACTAGTGCGAAAAGTTCGGAAAAATTTGGCCAACTAGATTAAGTTTTGGATACTGTAATTAATTTACCGGGTGTTAAGAGATAAGTAGAGGATGCTAAGTGGATTGGTATGAGGGAGACAAAAGTTAGGCAAGCATTAAATGAGGTGACAAGTGTCACCATAGGATTGGTTCTTACGTAAGACCACTATTCACCTTTTTCTATTTGACCAAATAAATCACAAAATTAACCAAAATTTCACCATTTTCTCTTCTCTAGTGGCCGGCTCTTACTCTCAAGAAAGAAAGAAAGAAAACTCTCCAAGTTGCTTCAATCTTTGCTCTAATCTTCTAAATCAACCATTAGATTTTGTTTTTGTTCCATAGAAACACTTAAAGAAGTGTTAGTGAATTGATTTGTGGAGTTATTTGGAAAGCTAAGAGGACCTATTGTTCTCTCTCTCTTGTTTCTAAGGTGAGTTGTGAAGAACCACTTTCCTTCCTCTAATGATGCCTAATTTATGATTAGTGGTGGTATGTGATGAAATTTTATGGATTACATCTTGATTTGTGGTTGAATTAGCGAAGTTTTTTATTTATTGGTGATTTTCTGTTTTAATATGAACATGATTGTGTGGCTATCTATGATGATTGGAAATGATGTATAATGACTCTAGAAGGTGGAAAAAGTGGATAATTGCAACCAATTTTTGGTTTGGAAGGAATTGTAGAAAGTTAGGGTTTTCTTGGGAACATTCTGCCCGGTTTTGTAGCTCCTAGTTAGAGGCTAAATTGGCCTTGGCTTAAAACATGAAAGTTGTAGGGAATGATATTTTAGAGGTGCCTGCAAAATTTCAGGTCAATCGGAGTAGTGTAGGATGAGAAAAGTCGAAATTACCCTTGCTGTCCTGGTTTTATCCGAATGTAAGAATTGCGCCTGTAATTGATTGTTTTGGTTGGAATTGCTTCAGAATTGGTTGTTGAGACCTTCTGATGAAATGTAGCCCTGTTTCTTAGCTTTCAGATGGTTTTGGAATTTCTGGATTTGGACTTGGATAGCCTGATTTATGATATTTTCGCTAGAATGCGTTCTGTGAATCTGTTTTTGTGATTCTGGTGTAGTATCTTGCATTTTTGACCTGGTTACACTTGAAACTGGGTTGAGTGACCTTCTGCAATGTTGTAGCCCTGCCTTTTAGCTTCGAAACGGTGTATCTTACACCTTCGTCCAGTAATCGTAGTGCCTTGGGTGCCATTACCGCAAAAAGAGGTCAAAAACTATTTTTTTCAGGGCAAAGCTAAATCCATTTCCGGATTTTCTGGTTTTCTCTAATGCTTGTATATGCTTATGAAACCTTATTGGGGTCGTATTTGGCATTGATTTATGACTCGTTATCGAGTCTCATTGTCCTTGTTTGCATGTTTTAGGGCGTGACGTTGGTGCACGACGTTCTTTTGACGGAAGTGCATGAAACCTCATTTGCAAGCTTGGTGAGTGTACTACTCACTTGTGTGTTACTATATGGCTTTGAATGTGAATTGCTTGAAGTGAATTGAATGTGAATTGATTGAAGTGAGAGCGTACTTTATCACTCTCACTTATTGTTTACCATGTTATTGGAATGTTATACAACATGTTTCATGAAATGAAAGTACATGGCTTGCTGTCGTTTGGACGAGTATCCAACGACAACAATTGTTATCTTTGAGCTCAACCCCATTGGTAGTTGATTGAATCGAGCCGGCGAGGGTTTGGTCGTGCCAATTGATGTGCCTTGGGGAAATGTTATATGGAATCTTGTAGTATGAGAGACTCTCGATTCCGGTTTACTCGAGTAATACCAAAGTGCAAGTGTTTGGAGTTCGGGCCCGGTAGGGGTATGTTGGGTGGAAGGAATGGAAGTAAAGTGGAGTCTACGGTTGGTTACTTTTGAATTGACGGAGAGTCAATGAAGTTCGATCAAGAAATGCAAACGAGGGAAAAGGGCTCTTGAGAGCCACCCGTATCCTTTAATCACCACATGTGATGTGTGCCTTTGCTTGCTTTTTATGTATTGAATGAAAAGCTTGATGCTTATATGTACTTGGTGGCTTGAGTGATAGTATTCTTACTGGGCAATTAGCTCACCCCGTTCCTTTTGTTTTCCTTACAGGAATCTGACTGCTTTTGGAATGACTTTTGATAATTGGTTGCCGAATGAACTAGATGAATATCCCTTTTGTATAGTTTATGAATTGAAATCCTAAATGTGCCATTGGGGCCGTTTTCACTTTTATTTTGGCAACCGTACATGTATTAATTTTGAGTAATTTTCATATGTCATTTTGGCTTGTAAATGCTAAATTTCAAGATGTGAAGGTTTGCTTGATTTTTGGTTGGGTTCTGAAGGGTCGGTTACTATTCATGGCCGACTCCGGATTTCATTTTTTTTTATTTTGGGTTATTTTGCCAGTTTGACTTGTTTGCGCGCGTTATAAGTTCCGAAACGCAATAGATCGCTCTAAACTGCACCGTTAGTCCTGGCGAGAGTTGGGCAGGTAGTCTGCTAACCCCTTTGGTTCGCCTTAGGGGAAAGTGGGGCTGTCACAGGTGGTATCAGAGCCTAGGTTTGAATTAGCCTGGGAGTAATAGAAATGCTTGATTCGAGGGTTCTTTATTTATGGCCTTTAAGCTTATTTATGGTTAATTGCTCTTTTGGTGTAGGATGGCCGGACAGGGTGAACCTAATGATAGTCCTCCGGGCGAGAGACCTCGTGGAGCGCTCCTCGTGATACCATACCAGATACGGCCAGGAGGGGCCGTTATGCGTTGGAACCCGTCTAACCGTCTCCGACGTTGTGAGTGTCGACATAAGTATACTTACCCTAACGCTCTAGTGTTTGCCGTGGCCGAGGAGCGTAAGGAGTTGGCCGGAGAGAATGCGAGACTTGAGGCCGAGGTGACCCAACTTAGGGCGGCCAATGAGAGACAGGCCGAGCGCATTGAGGGTTTGAAGGACGACGTACTTGAGGCAGAGGATAGGGTTGATGACCTCTGCGCTCAGCTTAGGGAAGTCCAAGAGCGCGAGACTAAACGAGCTCGCAAGGTGAAGGTTCGAGCTGCATCGATCTTGAATCTTTGCACGGATGTGGTCGAGGGCGTGAGTGGCGAGGACTCATGTGCGGGGCCTGAGGCTGGGGTTGGATCCACTCCGTCGGGTGGGTCTAATAGCTCGTCGTCGGTCTAAGACAGGACTTCTAGGGTTTGTTTTGGATAGTTGGTTTTGTATATAGGATGGATAGGGAGAAGGGCCTTCGCTAATCGTTTTGTACGTTTAGATTAGCTACGTGTATATTTCTTTTGTTGAGGCCATTCCCTTGGGGATTGTCCATGTTTGTACTCGACTTGACTGAACTTGACTTGACTGATTGTTAATATGTGTGCTGTTTGCCTTGCTTGGAATGTATATATCTATTTGGAAAGGTTTTGAGTTTTACTTACATGCATTGTTTTATATTGGTTTAGTACCTTTGTCTAGACCAAGTAAAGTTCATGGAAGGCACACGTAGTGGACGGGGGCGTGAGCGCGGTAATAGACAACCCACACCGGATAGGGGTACTGGGGAAACCTCTTCTGGACCTAACCTTGACCCCAATGTGCAAATCGCTGCCGCTATGCAGCAAATGACTAACCTGTTCGCACAAGTGGTGCAACAACAAGGCCAGAACCCAAACCCTAATCCTGAAAACCCTGGCAATCATGTCGAGAGCGAAGACAGAGCTCTCGAACGTTTTCAAAAGTTTGCTCCACCCAAGTTTATTGGGGGGCCCGATCCAGATGTTGCCGAGAGGTGGCTCGAGAAGATGGTCGATATTTTTGCGGCCTTGCACTACACCGATGAACGGCAGGTGACTTTTGCCGTATTCCAGTTAGAAGGGGCGGCCCGTTCCTGGTGGAACGTGATACGACAAAAATGGGAATGAGAACAAACGCCCAGGACTTGGGTGAATTTTATTAGGGAATTCAACGCGAAATTCTTCCCTCCTCTAGTTCAGGAGAGGAAGGAAGATGAATTTATTCGACTCCGCCAAGGGGCTCAATTAGTGGCGGAATACGAGAGTCAATTCACCCGCCTGTCTAAATTTGCGCCTGAGCTGATCATGACGGAGCAACGGCGAATTAGGCGTTTCATTCAGGGCCTAAACGTCGAAATCCAGAAGGACCTCGCAGTGGCTCAAATTAATGCTTTTAGCGAGGTCGTAGAAAAGGCTCAAAGGGTAGAGAGTGCTCGATTGCAAGTCCGGAACTTCCAGGCGAAGAAGCGGGGCTTTCCTGGAAGCAGCTCTGGACAAGGGGATAAAGGTACTCCCTCCAAGTTCGGATGCGGAGCTGGAGGTGGACGACAGTTAGGTTCCGGCAGAGGGGCTCAGTCTAGGGGTGGCCCAGCCGGGAGAGGCCAAGGCGGAAACTTCCAAAAGGGTTCAGGTTCGGCGTCTCGCGGGCCCTGTGGTTACTGCAGAAAGCAGAATCACTCCGAAGAAAATTGCTGGAAGAAACGAGGCAAATGTCTGCGTTGCGGAAGCGCAGACCACCAGCTTGCTACCTGC